AAATGATGATATTGGTGGTTCTCTTACTGAGCCATTAGTTGGTGATCCTGAATCAACTAATGATGATGTTGATGTTATTCCTGAACAGGTTATGCAGGAAGCTCCAGATGAGCCACAATTGAGAAGGTCAACTAGACTTCGCCAACCTTCCACCAGATATTCTACTCATGAGTATGTGTTGGTCACTAATGGGGGAGAGCCAGAATGCTTTGATGAAGCTATGTCACATGAGAAGAAAAGTGAGTGGTTGAAAGCAATGCAAGAAGAGATGAAATCCTTGTATGAAAACCATACCTTTGAGTTAGTGAAGCTTCCTAAAGGTAAGATAGCACTCAAGAACAAATGGGTGTTCAGGTTGAAAATTGATGAACATTGCTCACAGCCAAAGTACAAGGCAAGATTAGTTGTGAAAGGTTTCGGTCAAAAGAAGGGTATTGATTTTGAAGAAATCTTTTCACTAGTGGTCAAGATGTATTCAATCTGAGTTGTGCTTGGCTTAGCTGCTAGTTTGAATCTTGAAGTTGAACAACTTGATGTGAAAACTGTCTTTCTCCATGGTGATTTAGATGAGGAAATCTACATAGAGCAGCCTGAAGGGTTTGAAGCAAAAGGTAAAGAGCAGCTAGTTTGTAAGTTGAAAAAGAGTTTATATGGGTTAAATCAAGCTCCAAGACAATGGTATAAGAAGTTTAATTCTTTCATGGTGGATCATGGTTATGACAGGACCACTTCTGATCATTGTGTATTTATGAAAAGGTTTCTAGATGGAAACTTTATTATTCTCTTGTTGTATATGGATGATATGTTGATTGTTGGCCATGATGCTAAGAAGATTCAGATGTTGAAAGAAGAGTTGAGCAAGTCTTTTGCAATGAAAGACTTAGGACCGGCAAAACAGATTCTTGGCATGAAGATCACACGTGACAGGAAGAAGGAGAAACTTTGCCTATCTCAGGAGAGATATGTTTAAAAAGTACTTGAGAGATTCAACATGAGCAACTTCAAACCTGTTTGTTCTCCACTTGTAAGCCACTTTAAACTAAGTTCTAAGCAGTGTCCTTCAAGTGATGAAGAAAAAGATGAGATGAAAAAGGTTCCTTATGCATCCGTAGTTGGTAGCTTGATGTATGTCATGGTTTGCACAAGGCTGGATATAGCTCATGCAGTTGGTGTGGTTAGTCGGTTCCTCTCCAATCCTGGTAAAGAGCACTGGTCAGCAGTGAAATGGATACTCAGGTATCTCAAAGGTACTTCTAGTTTCAGCTTATGCTTTGGTAATGATAAACCTGTGTTGGATGGATACACAGATGCAGATATGGCTGGTGATGTTGATTCTAGAAAGTCCACATCAGGATACTTGATGAAGTTTGCAGGGGGAGCAGTCTCATGGCAATCAAGGTTGCAAAAATGTGTTGCATTATCCACTACAGAGGCTGAATACATTGCTCTTATTAAAGGGGGTAAAGAGTTGTTATGGATGAAGAAGTTCTTGCATGAACTTGGCCTAGTTCAAGAGAACTTTGTGTTGCAGTGTGATAGTCAAAATGCAATCCATCTCAGTAAGCATCCTACTTTTCACTCTCGATCAAAGCACATTGAGGTTAGATATTAATGGATTTGAGATGTTATGGAAATGAAGTCATTCGTTGTTGAGAAGATCTATAATGATGACAACGTGTCAGACATAATGATTAAACCTCTACCGAGAGAGAAGTTTGAGTTCTGCAGAAGGGAAGTAGGCTTGTCAGAGCCTCCTAAATTGAATTTTACATATTGATCGCCGGTATGACAAATTCCTCACATGGTGCATGAGGGGGAGATTTATTGTGTATGGTCCCGCACCATGTGATGGGGGGACCACCACTTAATTTCTGTCTCTTGGTATTAAAATTTAATGTTCGGGTACTGTAGCGGCAGAATTGAAAATAGAAGAGAGGAGAAGAAAACTGAGAGAGAAAGAAAGAAAAGAGGCAGCAAAGTAGCTTGTGCTCTTTTTTCAATTTCCAGCTCGTTCACCATTGGATCTGGTTGAGATTTTGACAGCAGCTTCTAGACACGTTGCTCTTTATTCTGGACGGTTGGATTGAAGATTGGTGGTGTGGAAGTTGTCCGTTTTGACAGAAAACAGGGCTGTCAGTATTGTGAGATTTTCTCAAATAATTCTCCTTTAAACTTCTTGTAATCCGAGAATAAGTTGTTATTAATGATATATATATTGTATCCTTTAGTTGAATCTGAGGAAGAATAATTGTGAACCCATTATTTGTTGATAGTGGAAGTTTTTAGGTGGACTACGATCCCGTGGTTTTTCCCATATCAGGTTTTTCACGTTAAAAATCTTGGTGTTGATTTTGTGATTATTTGCATTATTTTCATCATTGTTTGATTCTGTTTTACTGTACAAAGAGGGAAAGAATTGGAACTTGTGAATTGTGAATTGTATTCCGCTGAATTGATCCGGGTAAATTGGTGTCAGGTTGTTCCTAGTTTTCCCAACAAAAGTAAATTGTGAAACAATTTAATTACTTGTTTTCTTCATAATAAATTGGAGGAAATACAAAATGAATTAAGTACCTCGTAGATGGATCTCAAGTATCTCATGTTCATCCTTTTTCCACTGGCAAAAGGGCTCAAAATCACCATAATACAGCTTTAAGGTTTCTTCATTCATGGTTTCCATTTGAAGGCTTCTTTGGTTTTCTCCAAGGTTGTTCTTGGATAAAGGAGGTCGAAGATGATGTGAATTCTTAATTAACTAAATGAATTGATCTGTTCTATAGACGTTGTTTTTGACACATACATGAGACGCAAATTAGAGGTTCCTTGGGGGTTTCATTTTGGAAAAGAATAGATTCATTTTTAAGTTTCCAAGGAAGTCATCTGCTTGAATTATCTTCGGGTATACCTTCCCCTGTATTTCAACTTTCCTATCTTCACTTCCTTCTGATTTTTCTTAAGATTCGTTTTAACTCACCGTCTACAAATTTCTGAGGGTTAAGTGAAATTAATTTACGAGGTCAGAAGATTGAATTTAAATTCCTCACTACATTAGCAACAATTATCAGATAATTGACTGTTCAAACCATGGAACTTTTCATTGGAAGTTAAGAAGTCTTCAATTGCTTGGCATAAAAAGGAAACCAGAAACAAATAAAAGCCTTGGAATCTGTCATCATTAACGAGAATTTGGAGGACATACATCAAGAATTCCGAGGACATGCATCAGGAATTCGACTGAGATCAAAGGGTAATTCATAGTTGATGTTTTTTTTTATAATTACGATTTGATTTATTAATGAAATAGTTATTCAGATAACTGGAAAAAACACAATGATTTTTTTTAAAACAAAAACTAAAAATAAAAGATTAGAAACAAATCCAATTACAATATATTATTAACATCAGAATCAAAGCTTTATTCCTTGTGCATACGTGCATGCGCTTGTCCCGAAATAAATACCTTCAACATCGTAAATAAGATCAGTACTTTCTTTGTATGAAAAATTAAACTCACTAACCTTTATCCACAAGATAGACAACGAAGAGTATAACTGTTTTGGCATTAAAAACAACTTAATTACGTATATGCCAAATTCCTTAAACTACTCCAAAAAACCAAGGGCTACCAAAGCTTCTTCTGCATATTTCCAGTTGCAAGCACACGTTATTCATGCAGTATATAGGTTAATTCATACGTGACGTAACCAAGAAATTTTATGGAAGACTAATTGCTAGGAAAAGAATCGGTTCGATTCATGAATGAGAAGAAAACTATATTTATATTATGTACAATATGATTTTTGCAATTTAATATAAATTATTTTATAACCTTTAACTTTAAAAGAAAAGGGTTCGGACGACCTAACATGTTGTCCATACATTCGTATTTGATATTCATGAGCCATTGAAACTCTTACTATAAGAATTTTTTAAAATAAATAAAAAAGCTTACTGGATTACTGGAGTCTGGAAGTGATGATATTTATGAGCCAATAAATGGTTGTTCTTTCTGCACAGATTAACATATTACATATAGTAGTATGAACAACACAAATTATTGATGACTAATTATATATCTCATAAGATTTTTTCAATATATTGCAACGAAAACACTGTTCCATGAGTAATATGGAATTTGGATCTACCCGTGTCTTCACAACCTATGAAAAACAATATTACTTATACTTCCTTGAAAAAGATCAGTAAACTGGGCGATAGCATGCCATAGAAATTTTGTCGAATATCAGAATCAAGTGCTGTGTCTTTATAAGTTCTTTCTTAAAATTACAAGAACTGAAGGCATATTATGTCAGTTATTTGATTAAGTCTTGCTGAATTAGTGTCCTCACCTCTATAGTTTGGAGTTTGGACTTACCATGCGGTTCTATGTAGTTTTTTCCATTCCATTGAATAAGGCAGTTTGGCTGATGCATAAGCCAAGCAGGGTGTTCAGAAATCATAGCTCATCTGATCCTGTAGCATGTTTTGATTGGTTTTTGTTGCTGCCAGGCCGGTTTCGTTTGTTCCGGTTCTCCTTTGCTGTGTTCTCTTTTGCCTTCTGGTTTGATGCCATTTCTAGCTTAAAGGATGCAGCCTGCAGCTTGATTAATTTGCTTCCTGGTTCTCTGCAATCTACGGTTTCATAGTCATCTGCAGTCAGTCCCTTTAGCTCCTGTTCTTAGCGTTCGGCGTCTCTCTAGTACCGGTTTCATTATTTAGCTTAAAGGCTCTGTAAGATCTTTGTTTTAGGGTTGCCAAAGGTTGCTTTCTTCTTTGTTTTTTTTTTCCAGTTCTGTGTTTTTCGCTTTTAAGAGTTGAGCATGGCTTCTTCTTAATATGTTCTTTGCATTAACTATGTTGTCTTGTCTTTCTTCCCCAAGGTTGCCTTTTTGCACCAGGAAATTCAATCAACTCAGTTATGCTTCTGGAGAAAAAATTTACTTCCATTTATTTTTAACAAAAAGAACTTCAACAATGGAATGGAGAAGGCTCCATAAAAAGCAGGATGTTAATTGAAACCCTTTATTTTTTCAAAGTACAACAACAGTTTACTTTTCATTGTTCTTAAGTCAACAGGACATGCAGACCTTTTATATGTACAGCAAGATTTAGTTTTCAACATGACGATGTTTGTATATTATAAATACAACAAGAGCAATCATCAGAGCAACTGCTACTGCTACATTCATACCTATCTTTTTTCTCATTTGAAGCCTAAAAAACGAATCTTTCAGGTGCATTATGAAGCTCGTTAATGGCCTAGTGGTGAGCATCAATGTAGCGTTCTCAGTGGTCATCTTATTATTTTCTACAGAACCATCCAAATTTTTGGTTGCCCTGTCCTTGTCAACGGTATCTTGATTGATCTTGGGTCTTGATTGTCCATTTTCTTGATTAACTTGATCTTGAGAGGAAGGTAATGTTATGTTCTTAGGCATGACTATGTAAAGAATGCCAGTAGACAACTTTGCACGAACTTCGTTAGTGCTGCATTCCTTAGGGACCTTTATTTCTTTGCGAAAACGAGTCCATCTACTTTCGCCCACACGACGTTCCCCGGTAATTATCATGTTTCCAGCATTGCTGACTTGAACCCTCAAGTGTTCCTTTAAGAAACCTAGAAAAATTTAAGCATGGAGTATAATTAATTAGCATGTCCTATATATACTTAATTTTGCATGTTCTTATATAAATAGACAAATCTTAGCCATTTCAACCATCTGAACTTGTAACATTTGACAAGAAATGTTCCATAAGGAAATCTTACTATAAGAAACGTGGAATTACATAAGAAAAAACTTGTTACCATGGAGATGAACCTCAAGAGTGTCCTGTCCTTCTTCTATTCGCCACTTGCAATAGGGTTCAAAATCTTCGTAAGAGGGCTTGACGTTAGATCTAGCCATGATTTCTATTCAATGCTTACTGATTTCGTGTCTAAGGAATTTTGAAAGGAAATACGGCGCTTGTTTTCGACCTGATAAGGATGCCCTCTTTCCATGTTCCTCTTTTTAAGGATGCCCTCTATCCCTGTTCCTCTTTTATACGCTAATGCTATAAGATATGGTTTAAGAGGTTTCTTCTGGATTACCTCTTGAAAGGGAATATTTCCTTGTTGGATGCTTTTTGATTTATGTTGGTTTGTGTCTTTCTCGTGTTTTCTTTGATCAGCTGTAGAAGATTTCCTTGTGCGTGGATGACACATTATTCCTTCTTTCATGTGCTCAACTTTCTTAATCTTTAGCCATGCACGTATATTTTATGCAAAGGATACTATAGATTGAAAAGGAAAACTTATATGTCAGAATTTGTTTTTTTATTCCTGAATTAATTATTTTAGTGCTACTTCAATTGCTACAACCAAAGTAATGTTCCACAATATGAATATTTTTATAAATCTTGTCAAGTAAATGTAGAGAATCAATATAGTAAAAGAGAAAGAGAGAAATATTTTCTTTCAATAATGAAAACTTATATAATTTCATATGGGTTATGTCCCTTTATATATGATTAGAGGAGGCGATTACTTTTTTTAGTAATTCTTCTAATAATTTGGATCAAGCTCATCCATCATGGGTGGACCAGGCCTAACCCAATAACTAACATCTCTCACTCGCCCATGAAAAACTGAATCTCTCTAATATATTATACTTCAAACTTGCATAAAAATTTCATACTTGACGAACGGACCGTGCAACCTGAAGCACACAATGAAAGGAGCTCCAATATATAAACCTAATACAGGTCATATAGGAGATATCAACCTCATAATTAATTATTTATTAAAGTGTACTAATATACCCCAAACATTTTTAGTTACATATAACTGAATATAATTCAATCTCTCAAGAATTTTCATACTCAATCCATCCTTACAATTACAAGTATTCTAAATCATATCAAATCTATTCAAGTGATATGATCCCAGCTGGTGAATACAAGTAACAGGTGTAGAACTAAAATTACTTTTTCTTTCGCTCTCATATCAATCAAATCTGAATTAATTCGCTTTCTTTGGAGTATTCCTTTAAGTCGAATCATTCTATGACTATAGGATATACTCCTAAAGTAGCGATCATTAATACATCACCTCATGATATAGTCAAAAGTCATAGAGGGTAAGATTTTAAGATTTTAGATATGATCTTCAGGACTCACATAATAAAGAAGCAAGGATCCATTCTTTTATTCCTATAATGGTCGCTAGCACGTGTAGTATGAAATACATGCTAGAGTGGAGCTTACTCTTTTCTTTTCCTTTCTTAAGACAAAGAATGTATGTTGCTACTCTCCTTGTTAGAGAAAATACACTATATGAGTCTTAGTCTTTTTGTTAGAACTAAAATTACTTTTTCTTTCGCTCTCATATCAATCAAATCTGAATTAATTTGCTTTCTTAGGAGTATTCCTTTAAGTCGAATCATTCCATGACTATAGGATATACTCCTAAAGTAGCGATCATTAATACATCACCTCATGATATAGTCAAAAGTCATAAAGGGTAAGATTTTAAGATTTTAGATATGATCTTCAGGACTCACATAATAAACAAGCAAGGATCCATTCTTTTATTCCTATAATGGTCGCTAGCACGTGTAGTATGAAATACATGCTAGAGTGGAGCTTACTCTTTTCTTTTCCTTTCTTAAGACAAAGAATGCATGTTGCTACTCTCCTTGTTAGAGAAAATACATTATATGAGTCTTAGTCTTTTTGCTAAAAACATAGACTTCAAATCAGAAATTCTTATTTGCTCATTTTTCATTAGTGGCAAATGAATAATTTCATACTTGGCTTCAATCATAATAGACATATGAATGACGGGAATTCATTCATGCCGATTCTTTTATTTAAGAATCTCATATTGGTCCTAGCCAAGGTGACTTTTTAATAATCATTTTGAGTTAAAATTGCTCTTACTGTGCCCAAGTCGCTTATTGAGCATTAAAACTCAAATAATCTCATCTCTACTCACCTTACAAGTGCTAGAGGTGATTGCTTATATGAGTGAGCCAATCTAAATCTATCAACATACTATAACAAATTGTACTATATGATAATAATATATTCATCAAACAAATAATGAATAAAATTATATTCTAAAGGCATTTATTCATTACTCAATCATTGTAAGCTTTCATATGATCCTTAAAACTAATTACATTCTATATAGGCCAAGGGATCTCACATGTCTAACAAATGTATCTCTTGCTATTGGTTTTGTAAGTGGATCTGCAACCATAGAATTTGTAGAAATGTGTTTTAGGATCACATCTTGTTCAATAATTACTTCTTTAATGTAGTGATATCTCATCTTGATGTGTTTGGTCTTTCCAGGGTATTTTGGACCTGTAGCCATAGCTATTGCAGCAGTGTTATCACAGTAAATTATCAGCGGGTCTAATGCTGATTTGATAATTTTCAAATGATACAGGAAATTTTTTAACCAAACAACATCTTATGTTGCTGCAAAACAAGCTACATACTCAGCCTTCATGGTAGGTAAGGCTATGCAAGATTGTTTCTTGCTCCTCTATAGTATTGCACTATCATTAAGCAAGAAAGCACATCCTGAAGTTGATTTGGATTGATCGACATCTCCTCACCAATCAGCATCAGAGAAACCAATCAATCATAAATCTTTCTTTCCTTTGTAACATAACATGTAATTTGAAGTTCCTTTCACATATCGTAAAATCCTTTTAACTGTCATCCAATGTTTCTGACCAGGGTTTGATTGATATCGGCTAACCAATCCAATGGTATAACATATATCGGGATGTGTGCACATCATTGCATACATCAAACTACCGATAGCACTGGTATAAGATGCTTTAGATATTTTCTCTTTTTTTCTAGAGTTTTGGGACATATATCCCAACTTAGGCTTAATGTTTTTATTAACAAGGGTGTCCATTGGTTTGTTATCTTGCATGTAATAGTGCTCTAACATCTTTTTGATGTAAGTCTCTTGAGTTAAACCCAAAAGCCTTTTAGCGTCTGTTATCTTGATCAAAGACTAAAGCACAAGATCGCAATGTTTGCAAGCTTAAAAGATCCATATATGGTCTTAAGCAAGCCTCTAGACAATGGAACGTTAAGTTTCATCAAGCTATCCTTAAGGATGGTTTTACAATGATGGAAGAAACACAGTTCTAACGTCTATTTGATATAACTTTAGATCCATATGTGCGACTATAACCCAAATTAGGCAAACTAAAGTAATCCTCACAATTGGTGAGAATGTATCTTTATAATCAATTCCCTATTCTTGTGTGTAGCCTTTCACTACTAATCGAGCTTTATAACATTCTATTGGCTCGTCCGCTTTACATTTAATTTTAAGTAACCATTTATTTCCAATGGATCTTCGTCTTGATGGTAAATCAACCAAGTCCCAAACTTGATTAATTTTCATTAACTCCATTTCTTCTTCCATAGCTTTAATCCATTCACTTACTTTAGTACCAGATAAAGCATGACTAAAAAATATAATAATATAATGAAAATCTATGAAATACTATATTTTATTTAAATCTATAATGTTTCCCCCTCAATCTCACATCAACGACAAGGAATTGGTTCATGAATGCTTCTTTGAGGTTGACATTGCTCATGATCTTGCTCTATGAGAGTAAAAATAGATAAAATATCACTTCCAATATTTTCAAAGGGATTAAAAGTTTCATCTAAGTCCTCTATTGAATGGTTTGTTGTGCCATAATCTAGATTTTTCATTTTATATAATTGAAAATCTTTTTCAACCTCACCTGTCTTTGGAAAAACCTTTTCTAAGAATACAACATCACACGATTCAATCTCCATCACTCTTCCATCAGCTTTTTCACCAATAAATACAAAGCCTTTGGAATATTCAAAATATCGTATACAGATAAACTTCTTCCTCCTAGGACCAAGTTTTCCATATTCATGAGAAGCATTGTGAATATATATTGCACACCTCTATGGATGGAAATAACCTAGATTAGGTTTGACACCCTTCCATAGTTCATATGGGGTGGATGAGACAGATATAGAGGGCAGACGATTAAGTATGTAAGCAGTAGTTAACAATGCATCTCCCCAAAAGGAATTGGAAAGTTAGCTTGCGCCATCATTAACCTAACCATATCAAATAGGGTTCTATTTCTTCTTTCTGCTAAACCATTTTGTTATGGAGTATAAGGAATAGTTAGTTGTCTAGCTATACCCTTTTCATTATAAAAGTTTTTAAATTGTTCAGACAGATATTCACTCCTCGATCTGTTCTTAAAGCTTGGATCTTGGCACTTAGTCTATTCTCCGCCAAATTGGTGTATCGAATGAAGCAATCCAATGCTTCAGACTTATGTGAGATAAATTAAACATGACCAAACCATGTGAAATCATGTATAAATATGATGAAATAATTTCCTCCATGTCTTGCTCTCACATTCATTAGACCACAAATGTCTGAATGAATAAGCTGTAATGGATTACTAGCTCTTTTAACTTTGCCAAATGGTAATCTAGTTGCTTTTCCAGCAAGGCAATGCTCACAAATGGGTAATTCCTCTTTAGTAAGTGATCCTAAAAGACCAGCTCTAGCTAATCTATGTAATCGATCTTGCCCAATGTGTCCTAATCTAGCATGCCAAGTTATGATATTACTATCATTAATAGTGCTGAAATTTTAAACAACATAAATTAAAGCATCATAATTAATAGATACATTAACGGTGTCTAACACCATAAAACCATTTAATACAAAGCCAGAATCATAAAAAATATTATCTAGATGTATTTTTACACAACCAATAAACATAATTTTAAAGCCTAATTGGAATAAAGCAAGAACAGACACAAGATTCTGTTGAACTTCTGGAGCGTAGAGCATATCATGAAGATAAAGTGTGTGACCACCCCGCAAATCTAGTTTGCAAGTACCGATCCCAAGCACAGCAGCGGAAGTATGATTCCCCATGTATATGTATCTACTTCCCAATAACTAACCCAATAACTAACAAATACAACCACGCTCATAACTGACATAAAAGTGATGAGGTATATTTTTTTTTTTACTTTTTTTTTCTTTTTAATATCATAAACACGCTTACATGATTCACAAGTAGGTGACAACTTTCAAAAACCAAATCAATTTTTTTTACTCTGTTTGCTTTTATCAACAGCAAATTTATTTCTTAATTTGGAGAAGACATTGAACTAGCAAACATCAAAGTAATAAATTCATAACAAAGAATTAGAAGTTCACAAAATCAATTACTTTAAAAGAGAAGAACATGAAATTTGAAATTCAAATAAAAATAAACTTCCAAGGCATTTGATGTTACTGAAGTACTATCAATTATTTTCATTGTACAAAAAAAACTTTATGGATATGGGAGAATATGATCATGAAATCATTTTATTATGTTTGTTATAAATCAGTTTTGACTACTCATGATGATCATATTTTAAAAAAAACTTCACGAACATAAAAAAATCCAAAAAATATTTTTTGATGTAATTCAATCAATTTTTATTTATTTTATAATTTTCAAACTTTTTGTTTATCATTTTTATACCACTATATTTTCAAAAACTAAAATATTAAGAAAATTGAAAAGAAACAAGAATTGAAGAAACAAAAAGTTTAGTAGGTATAGTAATAATCAAGGAAGGCGTGAAGGACTAATTTGAACATTTTTATCCCCTTCCCAAGCAAGATAAAGATAAAAGAAGACTACATGAGAAGTTATTAGAATGTTTTAGAATAGGAGGGGATAAGAAAAAAAAAAGATATGGAGGAAATATAGGGGAGGAATAAAAGAATTTTTAGTGGTGAATAGTAAAAAGAAGGTAGAGAAAAATTGGAAAAAAAGTAATAGAAAAGAAAATGAAAAACATACGGGGAGAGAGAGAGAGAGAGATATGAAAAATAAAAATCTTATTCATATTCTCCCTTTTTTTCTTAAAAAAAAATTATACAATCCTTAACCATTATCTTTTTTTTCCTCATACTAGTACCAGCAACCCATACCACAACCCACTCAATTCACTAGTCGCCAACCTCCTTTCCTTTCATATAAGTAATCCATACAGACAATCATAACCTAATAAACCTTATGCCCTAGAGCGAGAGAGAGAGAGAGAGAGAGAGAGAGAGCAAAATCAAAAAACAAACCAAAGCTTTCCATCCTTAAATCTCTCATTATAGGTGGTGGTTTACGACATTACTAGCATAGAAAAGAAAAGAAGAAGGAGGGCTACCTGATCTAGTCAACCATGTGCCTCTCAAGCCAATGAAGCATCAATCCATGTACAATGACTCATGGCAGCATATGAGATGCATGCACCAACATTACCTCCATTATTGTCACCTTTAACGGTTTCTAATCTACCTCAGCCACTTTTAAAGGTCAATTTTGAACCCTAGATGAATCTTTAAATAATTTGTAATATGTTATTGAATTTTCTTGTCATAAAACATTGATTATTGTTGATGATTTTCATTTTTTTATGAATGATTGTGATTATTTGAAGTGTCAAGCTCTACATCGTTGTGTGGCAACCCTAGAGGTATGATGTCGCCATGAAATTTATTTTTTAAGCTAGAATAAAATCAGGATCAATACCCTACGATGGGTTTAGGAGGATGACAACCATAAAATATATTTACACTGATAAAATATTTTGTAGGTGTATAAGATGTAATTTCACTGATATAATAATCACTGATGGATTTACTAATGCAAAAGTAACATCAGTGCCTCTTATCAAGGATTCCAAGTCCATTAGTAATTCAATCGATGATTTATGTGTCAACAAAAACACCAATAAAATATTCACACTAAAAAGAAAAGGTTTCTAACCATTTTTCCATCGGCTAATCCATCAGCAAATATTGCCAACAGATTACTAATGAAACAATAATTGATAAAAAAAAAATCATGTAGAACCATCAAATTTCCTAACAAAATCATCGATATAAAAGTTTTGTTAGTAAATCCATCAGTCTATATCAAAATAGTTCACAACTCTTAGTACTTCTCCAAGAAAAATACACCTACATTACCGACAGGTTTACCTATAAAAATTTATTGTCATTGGTGATGATATCAATATTTCAATCATCTAAAAAAAATATGTGATTATTTAGATCAAATAATTTAACACTAAACAACATCAAACAAAATAAAGACTGACAATGTGAAGAAAAAAAACAGATCAAGGAGGGCTATGAAAATAGAAAAAAAATCAAGCAGTTATTTTTTGAGAAAATTCAAGGCATAATTGTACCCCATTATGCCTAAAAATAGAGAAAAATACAAATCCAAGGTCAAATTGAATGATTAATGAATGAATTTGCATAAAAATTGAGTCTAATGATATAATTAAATTTTTAATGGGCCAATTCGATTTAATATGAGTCAAATTAAATTTTAATTATGTTTAAGAATTAGTTTGGGTCCAATTAAGTGTAGGGACTTAATTATACTTTACATGGGTCAAATTAATTTTATTTTGGGCTTAATTGATAAAAAAAAATAAGTTTGGCAGCCTAATTTTGGCGTAACTGAGAAGATTGAAATTTTAAAAGACCAAATTTAATTTTACCAAGTTAGTTGATTAAAATTAGAGGTTTAATTGCATTAAACAAAAAAATTTAGGGTCAATTAGGGTTTAATTGAAAGCAATTGAAAGAGGGAGGACTAAAATGAACTTTGGCAAAAAAAGGAATCAGTATTGTTCATTATCTTTTTTTTTCTCTGAAAAAGCTGATCCGGTTACCTACTTTGCAACTGCATTTAATGTACCTAACATCCTCCAAATTTGACAAATCTTATAATAAAATAATTCTCTACACTTTCTTTACAACCCCATGTAATCAACTCAGGCTAAATGACAATACATCATCTTTGGTGACAGCCTAAAAAGGCCAATGCAGTCAGCTTTTGTCTGCAAATTTACAACTCATGATACCTCTTTGAGCCAACGGTTAGGATCCTTCCTAACTAAATCAAGGACTGAAAGTTTTTCACAATGTAGACAAGATTGCCCTCTTCCACCGCCTATAAATAAAGGTGGATTTCATGGCCTGATGGGAGAGAAAATCAGGTTCAAAATAAGCTAAAAAATTAGCTTCTTCCTGGTTTTTGCAACTTTCTCTCTGTTTTTCTTTCTTTCTCTCTTCACCTCTTCCACAGCTGCCTTCTCTGGTGAGAATACCAACACACCCGGCCTACACACCACCACAAAAACCAGCTCCACTATAGGAAGCCGGCACAACCACTAAGCAGCCACCACGACTCCCTCTCTCCCTGCTGCAGACCTGTTTCATCATCCTTCTTCTCTGCTACCGCAACCTCAACAGTAACTGCAGAGGACGCAACCACCTCTTCTAGGGGCTTTCATCCTTAGAAACAGCAGTAGAGGTGGTGACTTTAAAGAGCCTATAACACCCGACTCCGAGCAAGAAGTATGGCAAATGAAGAGCATGCCCACCATGACACCCATTTCCAAGAAGAGTAGAGTGGCTCGCCTTACTAGTTTAATCAAGCAAACACTTAGAAATGCCTCTGGTGAAGGTCTTTCTAACCAGCCTGCTATTTTTGTCTAACATCTGGCAACAACTCAACCTGAAGAAACAATAAGTGAACATGGTCAAGAACCTCCACACAATCCAGTATTTATGCATTTAGGAACTCCAGCATAAGCCCCCGCAGTCATGAATGCATTTGCCAATGAGTCTCATAAGACCAAGACATCCAATGGCATTGACCAAGATTAGATAGCAGCACTGAAAGCTAGAATTAGAGCCATTAAAGGGGTAGACTTGTATGATCCAGTACGGACAGCAAAAATGTGTTTGGTCCCAAATGTGGTTGTCCTAAAGAAGTTTCGTGTTCTTGAGTTCATCAAATACACTGGAACACAATACCCTATAACTCATCTTAAATCCTATTATAATAAAATGGCAGAAGTAGTACATAATGAAAAACTATTAATGCACTTTTTTTCCAGAATAACTTGAGTGGGGCAGTATTAAGCTAGTATATGAGATTGAACAACACAAAAATTCAAAAATAGAAAGACTTGATGGTGCTTTTGTGAAGCAATACAAGTGCAATCTAGAGATAGAACCAGTTTGTCCAATCTAGAGAAAAGGGATAAGGAAAGCATAAGGGAATATGCTCAAAGATAGAGAGACCTAGCTGTTCAAGTACATCCTCCCCGGCGGGAAAAGGGGATGGTGACTTTATTTGCTAACACGCTCAAGGCACCATACTACGAGCATGTGATGGGAAGTTTGGCCTAGTAATTTACAGATGTTGTGGCAGTAGTTGAGTGAATAAAGCGAGTAAAAAGTGGTAGAATCTCTGCACCTGTGGAGAAAAGAGGCTTTAAAGGTAAAAAGAAAGAGGTTGATTATGTTGAGGGTAGGAAGAACCCATTCCAAAAATACCATACTCCATAGGGGTGAGCAAATTCGGTTCGGTTCGGTTTTTATCTAAAAAACTAACCAAAATTAAATTTTAGAAAACTTGAAAATTCAAACCGAAACCGAACTAGAACCGGTTCAAATTGACCGATTTTGGTTCGGTTCGGTTCGGTTCGGTTTTTTAACAAAAAAATCAAAAAACCTGTATTATTTTTTAGGGCTTTTTTGGGCTTTTTAATGGGTTTTTTGATGGCTTGTAATTAATATAAATATTATGTAATTTTGTTACAAAATTCTATAATATATTTAATATTTTTTGTCACTAAATATTCATTTATATTAAATTATTAGTGTTAATATTATGTTTAATATGTTTCAAGCCTTTCTAATATTTATGTTTTGAAGTTTGGACTCCTCAGGCATCAAAGTGTAAATAACACACACACCAAATTAAAATTAAAATTACAAAGCATTGCCTTCAAAAGGGCTTAAAAAAACAAATAACATTGCCATAAAAAATAAAATACTTCATGCAAAAAATATAAATCTTCATTGTATACATCATCTCAATCAAAAAGCACATCAAGATGACAAGAACATTGCACTTTGATTCCATAATATCATTGACATCAAAACCTGAAAATCAAAATCTAAAATTATAACATGATAAAATAAATTAGAATATGTAAAAATAAAAAATAGTATTTTACCATCAAAGTAACTTTTGAACTAATTATCATCTGTTACTAAATGTAACTTTCCACCAAATTCTACAAAATAAAAAATTAGACATGTTAGATGATTGCAAACAATTTAATTAATAAATAACAAAATAAAAGATGCAAGTTTCTAAAAAAAATTACCTGACTCAAGGTTTTCGTAGGTTTCAAGATCATTTATCAAGCTTCTAATATCAATTAGATTTGATCCATGATGCAACCAATTTTGACAACAAATGAGTGCTTGAACAGTTGCTGGAGATAGAGAACTTTGAAATTGATCAAGTACACGACCACCTGTGCTAAATGCTGATTCAGAAGCCACTATAGATATAGGAATAGCCAGAACATGTTGTGCAACCTTTGAAAGTGTCTTATATTTCAAAGCATTACTTTTCCACAAACCCAAAATATTTAACTTATCATCATTAGGATCCTCACAACCTTCAATCAAATACCTCTCAACCTCATTTTTATTTTCCACACTATCCACCTCCAGCAAATATCTTTTGAATCGAGCCAAAGTGTTAACATCTACCTCCACATCATCAATAGCATTAACATCCTATTTATGCCTATTATTATCCACCACTTCATCAATTTTCAAATAAAACTCATACAAACTCACCAAAGTATCTTTCACCTTATTTGTTAGCAATTGTGCTTTGTCATAATCATACAAATCACCAAAACAAAATTTCACATATTTCAACTTCAAACGTGGATCTAAGACATTAGCCACATATAACAAAAAATTCTGATTTACTTCACACCCCCAATACTTCTCAAACTTTAACATCATATTCATCGTCATTCCACTTAAAATACTATCTTTATTTTTACACAATTGCAACAAGTTTGTATGCATGTAAATCAATTCATTGAAGAAAGAATTTGATGTGATATGCAATGAGCTAGAAAATCTCAATGTAACCATATAAAAAATCTTTAAGAACTTAACCAAAGTTCTTGTATTTTCCCAATCACCCAAACTAGGTGGCCCTATGTTTTTTTTATTCCCCTTTGAATCAACCTCCAAAAAGTAACTCATATACCTACGTTCTTTTTCACCTAACCTCACAAACACCTTTTCAAACTTTTCAGCAGCTTCTAACATAAGATAAGTTGAATTCCATCGAGTTGCAACATCTAAACACAATGATTTCTTACACTCTATATGCAACTTTTCAGCACACTTCTTAAATGCAAGATGCCTCGACGGTGAAGATCTTACAAATCTAATGGTATTTTTAATCTTAACAACTGAATCATTAATCTCTTTCAAGCCATCACACACAATGAGGTTTACAATGTGTGCACAACATCTAACATGCAAGTACTCATTTGACAATATATTAGTTGGCCAATATTTCATCACATTCTTTAAATATGAAATGGTCACATTATTAGTGCTTGTATTGTCTAATGTAATAGTCAACAGTTTATCAATCCCCCACTCCAGCAAACAATTCTCAATAACTTGGCCAATTGTCTCACCTATATGATTGGAAACTTGACAAAAATTAAGAATTCTTTTATGCAAATTCCAGTCATTATCAATCCAATAAGCTGTTAAACACATATAGTTAATATTTTTTATTAATGTCCATGTATTTGTTGTCAAGCACAATCGTTGACCCCTAAGAGCTGTCCTCAATCTATCCTTCTCTTCAATATAAAGTTTCAAACAATCTCTCATAATTTTAAAACGAGAAGGAATGTCAAATCTAGGTTGCATAGTCCTAGCAAACAATTTAAATCCCCGACCCTCCATAAAATTAAAAGGCAACTCATCGATTATAACCATCTTTGCTAGTGCTTGTCTACATTCATCATAATTATAACCTATTGCCTTAAGACTTCCTACATTTTGTTCTCCCAATTCACCCTTCTCTATCTTAGGTTCTAATACCAAAACCCTTTGTTTCTTATCAACCACAAAAGGGAACTTCTTGCACACTTTTAAATGACTCCACATATTACTTGTGCCATTAACAATAGTATGACATGCATAATGTTTTTCACAATAATTACATTCAGCTCTAGGAACTTTAGGATCAACATCAAGTTTTGTAAAGTGATCCCAAATTTATGACTTCTTTTTATCATCAGCATTTCTTTTCCTAGATGTAAGGACTTGAGATTGTTTACCTTTTGTATCTATGGTGGATCCTGCATTGGTTGATTCTACATTAGGTTTTAAAGTTGGAGAAGAAGTAGATGTTGGTGTAGTGCCCGTGGATGAAGCATTTTGAATTTGAGTTGTTTCCATCTATTATTACATAATAAAAACATGTTAAAAACCAATAATTTATAATAGATTAACAATAGTATGATATGCATAAGTTCAACTGTACTTTTAAAGATTATTTTCACAAGTTATTTTATTTTGGTTGATATGTTGTAAAAAAAATTATGTTGCTGAGTGCTGAGATTGTATTTTGTAATTTCAATAGACAATAATACAATATAATAAAATACAATATATATATATATATATTATTCTCTATTCATAAAAAAAAATTCAATTTTCAAAATTGATAAATTACAATCCACCGAACCCCTCCTTTTTCTTTTAATATATATATATATAAACATTATTCTCTATTCATAAAAAAAAATCAGTTTTCAAATTTGATAAATTACAATCCACCGAACCCCTCCTTTTTCTTTTAATATATATATATAAACATTATTCTCTATTCATAAAAAAAAAAAATCAGTTTTCAAATTTGATAAATTACAATCCACCGAACCCCTCCTTTTTCTTTTAATATATATATATAAACATTATTCTCTATTCATAAAAAAAAAAAATCAGTTT